AATCTATTCCTTGGTATGCCGATATCGTTAACTTTTTGGTCACAAAAAGGTATCCCGACACATTCACACGTGCTCAAAAAGACAAGTTGAAAAATGATGCAAAATATTATGTGTGGGATGAGCCTTATTTGTGGAAACATTGTCCCGATCAAATCATTAGGCGATGTGTACCCCAACAAGAGCACCAATCCATTTTGCAATTCTGCCATGAATTCGCTTGTGGGGGACACTTTGGACCTAACCGGACTTTGAGAAAAGTCCTTGAGTGTGGATTATTTTGGCCAACCATGTCACGCGATTGTTATATGTTTTGCAAAAGTTGTGAGCGATGCCAAAGGACGGGAAACATTTCGCATAAAAACCAAATGCCCCAAAATCCAATCCTTGTTTGTGAAATTTTTGAGTATGGGGGATCGATTTCATGGCCCATTTCCCGTCTCATTTGGCAACGTTTACATTTTACTCGCGGTTGACTATGTTTCTAAATGGGTTGAAGCAAAAGCCACAAGATCGGACGATGCAAAACAGTTATCGAGTTTTTAAAGTCTAATGTTTTTGCAAGGTTTGGTGTGCCTAGGGCTTTGATTAGTGATAGAGGGACACACTTTTGCAACAAAATGATGGAGGCTCTATTGAAGAAGTACCACGTGAACCCATCGTGTTTCCACAGCCTATCACCCTCAAACGAATGGTCAAGCGGAGGTTCAATCGTGAAGTGAAGTCTATTCTAGAGAAAACGTGAATCCAACAAAGAAGGATTGGAGTTTGAGACTTGACGATGCCTTATGGGCTATCGGACCGCTTATAAGACCCCGATTGGAATGTCACCCTTCAGATTAGTCTTTGGAAAGCCATGTCACCTTCCCGTCGAGGTAGAGCACCGTGCATTTTGGGCGGTCAAACAATGCAATTTCAACATTGATGAGGCGGGAAGGCATAGGAAACTTCAACTTCAAGAGTTAGAAGAATTGAGAAATGACTCCTATGAAAACGCAAGGATTTACAAGGAGAAAACAAAGCTCTTCCACGACAAGTCCATCTCCCGGAAGCATTTTGAGGTGGGGCATAGGGTCTTACTATACCATTCACGATTGAAGTTATTTCCAGGCAAGCTAAGGTCAAGATGGATTGGACCTTTCGTTGTGATTAAGACCTTTAACCATGGGGCGGTGGAAATTCAAAGCGAAAAGACGGGACAAACCTTCAAAGTCAATGGGCACCGGTTGAAGCCATTCTATGAAGGTTTCAATGCTAATGCCCTTGAAGTCATCCATTTGGATGTTCCGATGTGTTGAAGAGAACTAGAAGGACGTCTCGCCAAAGACGATAAAGAAGGGCATTTTTGGAAAGCAATGTGCTTTCACCATTTTTTTTTTAATTCAAATAAATTTTTGAAAGATTTCACAAAACGTTCCCCGTTTACTCCAAATTTTGTCAAAAAAAAAAAAAAAAAAGGCCTTAAGGGGATCGTTTTGGCTTAAAAAATCAAGTGTTTTGGAAAAATCTCCTTTTTGATGTGCAGAAGTACCCGCGGCCAGCCCGCAGCCCAAGCCTTGCCCGCGTGTGTGATCAGAAAGTTTTCTAGCAAGTAGACGCGGCCAGCCCGCGGCCCGAGTCCAGCCCGCGTGGGGTTAAGCTCAAATTCAGTCCAGTACACGCGGCCAGCACGCGGCCCGCGCCTCACCCGCGTGGGTTTTCAAAAGACTAGGAGATTTTTTTGAGTAACCAGTACCCGCGGCCAACCTGCGGCCCGAGCTCCACCCGCGCGTAAGGTCAGAAAAAATTCGAGCATGCTAGACGCGGTCATCCCGCGGCCCGAGCTCCACCCGCGCGTAAGTCAGAATGATCCGAGCAGGCTAGACGCGGCCAGCACGCGGCCCGCGCCCAGCCCGCGTGTTGGTCGTTTGATTGGGATTTTGAGCTGTTGACTGCCTTGACTTTCTTTGACCAAGAGATTTAATGAGTTGACCAAACATTGACCGGGTTTGACCCTCTTTGAACAAAGATTAAACACCTCCAACACTCTTCTTCTTCATTCTAACCTAACCAATTCCCCCATTTTCTCTCTAGAAGCTCAAGAACACTAAACCCACTTCTCACAAAAATCCATTTTCCCGGAGTTCTACCGGTCGGAATCTCACGAAACCACCGCCATTCTTCTCCATTTTTCTTCCTCTACAAACCCCACCCAAATTCCGGTCCATCTGTGGCCGGAACTCCGGGCGCCACCACCACCCACCACCACATATTTTCGCGTTTTCCGGCCAACTCCGGCCACCATTGGAGAATCCGAGCACGGGGTTTTGTTTCTCTCATCAAGAGCTTTCTAGTCATACAAATCTTTCCGCAAAAACTCACGAAAAATTTCCGTCAAATTCCGAGTGCCGCTACTCCATTCGCCGGAAAGTCATCTTGAAGCTAGTTTGTGGGGTTGTTTTAGCGATTAAAGCATCAAATACGGAGCAAAATTGCAAGCTTGGGGTGTGTCTTGACGAAATCATTTTGGTGGCACTAGTTCATCCCGGGTCTAAGAAATTGGGTAATCTCATTCTTTTAACTTGATTGTTCATACCTCAATTTCCCATTTGTTGTTGGTATTGTGTGCATTTGTTGTGGTTGAAAGTTATTATCGGTAAAATTTTGTCCCGAATAAATGTTCAAGCGCGCAAAAACGGGGACGGGAGCAACTTCCTCTAAAGGAGGATCGAAGGGAAAATCCAAGGATCCCCCGTTTCGTTTGTTGAATCGTGAGGATCGTAAAACTTATGATTTTCTCGTTTCTAATAAGCGTCAAGTCAAGTCAACAAAATTCCTCCATAGGGAATCTTTTGCTAGTCTTGGGGTGCTCGATGGAGTCCAAGCGTTATTTAACAACATCGGGTGGGGTCAATTCCTCCATAACCGCGCCGCCACCTATGTTGAACCCACCTTGGAATTTCTTACCACATTCAATCCCGAGGAGGAAGCCCAAACCGTCACCTTCCAAATCCTCGGCGAGAAACGATCTCTACCACATCGGGTCGTGAATGCTTTGATGGGTGCTCCCGTGGACAACCTATATTACCAACAAGACCCATGGCCCGGAAACTTCAATGAACATTACTTTTGGCAACAAATTACCAATGAGCCACAATATTCATCGTCTTCGTCAAAGGCCTCCTCCATAATTCACCCATGTTTGCGCCTAGCGCATAGAGTTCTCACATGCACCATTTTCGCCCGCTCCGAAGTGGGACAGATTTCAAAGGCGGAATTATTTTTTCTTTGGTGCATGACTCGTGAGAACGGTCGCGGCCGGATTTTGCTTCCTTTTTCTTCACCAAGTGTTACAACCTCACAACTATGGACAAAGGAGACATTTTCATTGGGGGATTAATCACCCTTATTGCATCCCGGCCACCGCTTCAACTTCATCTCTCTACTCTTCCATTCGAGAAGGCTTCCGGCCCCTCTAGTCTTGACGGCAATGCACTTCGCCGAATGCAACTCATCCGGGATTCGGTTGTCGGGCCCATGTGGATCCTTGACAACCAACCATACCTCATTCTCCCTCATGAGTATATCGGGAGTTTTGAACCGAACGATCCCGATCAATGGATCATTCCATCAGACTACCCTCCACCTGTAGATGATGAGGATGACCAATTTCAGCCTGCACAACAATTCGCCGAGCCCCAATTTCAGCCTGCACAGCAGTTCATCGAGCCTCAGTTTCAGCCGCAGCAGCAGGGGGGATACGAAGTTCCACCATATTTCCCCCTACTTTCTTTGACCAATTTGCCACAATGTTCTCCACGGTGCAGCGTATCGACACCCAAACGCAAGAGAACACGAGAGCCATCCAAGATGTGGCGAGTCGCGTTGAACAATTGGAGCACTCCTTCCCTCCCACTTCCCGCCAGGTCCAAGATATGTGGGACTACCATTATCGTCACGGGCATTTCCCGCCGCCCGACCCACCGATTTAGGTCCTTTCCGCCCTTTCCTTAAGCATTGAGGACAATGCTTGTTCTTAAGCTTGGGGTGGGGCATTTCCCTTATCTTTTACTTTTTCATGCATTTTTAGTTAGGTTGCATAACATTTTAGTATTAAGCTAATTTTCATTCATTTTTTTTTTATTTAAAATTTCAAAAAGATTTTATTTTCTTCTTTTCCACTTTTTATTTTTGCATAACATTTAGCTTAAGGCATTAGCATTCATGCATTTTTGTTGTCTGTTTATTCTCACCTCTCTTGGATGCCATGGAACAGGTTCACAGTTATTGATCATTATTGGTCCAGGATCTTGTTGCTATCTCACCCATCGAACGGGACCACTAGCTGCAGTTTGGGATTTCATACTTGGGATCAGATGCTGGTAGCTTAAAGGGGTAAGTGATCATGGCCAGGTAGTTTCATGAAGAATTATGCATACAATACTAACAACTGTAGGATATACTATAGCAATGGGTGTTCTTAGCCTTGCGGTCACTACCGCGGAGAGGATCACACTTGATCATGTTTGAACTGTTAGGATGAAGCATTGGTGCTTGTCCCCGAGTAGAATCCATATCCGGTCTCTTTACATCACCATATCTTTTTGCGATTTTCTTAGAATTTTAGAGAGTCTTTTAGTCCACATTTGGACATTTTCATTATCTTTGAAAAACCAAGTTGAAAAGGAGCTTACATTACATCTTTATGCTCCACACATGGTCATTTTCACACTTAGGCCATTCGGATTATATCATTACCCTTTCGGTTCCACCTACACACCTTTGGGAACCAAATTTTGAGTCAAAGGGTTTTATCATCAAAAAAAAAAAACAAAAAAAAAACAAAAAAAACAAAAACAAAAACAAAAACAAAAAGAAGCACGCAAAATTTTCAGTTGCAACTATCTTAGATAGGTGGCCGGTTCAATTATTGAACAAATTTCCTAACATCTTGGTCACCCGGCGTTTGATATTCATTTGTATAGGTCTGTTTTATTGTATATAGATCGAGTTGTTATTTTTTTTTTTCTTTCTCACAAATTGGTGATGTTAGAGAGACTGTCGAGTCGGATACTACGGGAGGTTTGGGCCAACACTAAGTGAACTGATTCCTACAACGGTGCCCGAGCGATTAAACCTAGTTACACATGAGAGAAACGAATGTGAGATAAGAGTGTGCACTTAAAGAAGAGCTCCACCCGAGCCCATCCAGTTGCTTTCTCCCTACTACAGATGTTCTTCATTGTATGCATGTTCCATTGAGGCTGCGACTGCTCATCCCTCCTTACTCACCTAAAGGAGTTGTCCTGACTGTGGTTTATGGTTCCATTGTCATCGGATGAAAAAGTTGTGAGATAGCAGCGAAATCAATTCTGACCATGTTGACTAACGTCGAACAGGTTCCATGGTTCTATCCATTCTTTTTATTTCTAGGGTAGTTCATCCCAAGTTCATTTAGTCTTGTCTTACTTGAGGACAAGTAAGGTTTAAGCTTGGGGTGATTTGATAGCTTCATTTTATTTACTTCTTTTTATAGTTTATTTTAGTACATTTCATTCGCATTTTAGTTAACTTTCATGCATATTTTCCCTTTTGTTATTTTTATGACCATTTCGGGGTACTTTCTAGTTTCTTGAGCATTATTGCAGATTTTCTTGGAAACTAGCGGGGCGGCACTCTTGGGAGGCGATTGGGCTTGAAGGGAATTGGAGATTTCATGCTTGATGGCTATGAAGGTGATTCATGGGGTGGACTTGTCAATTGCTTGAAGGCTTGGAAGAATTGAGCTTTAAATTTGAAAGATGCGGGAGAATTCTTGAGTATGCAAGATCAATATTTGGGAGTTTGCGGAAGTTTTGAGTGATGTGGAAAGATAAATTGGGCTCAAATTGAAGAAACATTGAAGAAAAATGGGCTAGAAGCTGATTGGACTCGAACTGGGCCAACGGATTAGCTGTGGGGGCCCAAGACTTGAAGAAGCCCAAAATTCCCGTCAGTACCCGCGCCCGCGTAAGATTCCCCGCGGCCCGCGTGGATTCCTGACAAGGGCAATTTCGGGATTTTGCTTAGAGCTCTATATTGGGAAGGTTGGTGTGCCTCTTTAGCAATCTTGGAGGTCCGATTTTGAGCTTTTCTCTCTGGAGTTTGGAGCACTTTTGGAGGCCAAGAACACTTGAAGAACATCTTCTTTTCACCTCTTGAATCTTGTCAAATGTTTGGTACAATCTTATCTAACTTTGTTCATTTGAGTTTAGCCATGCTTGGCTAAACAAATCTTGGTTGACTTTTTGTTGAATCCTTTGAACTTTTGTTGGATGTTGAAGAATCTATGAACTTGTTCTTGAATCTTTATGGAAATGTTTTGTGTTTCATCATATTATCATACTAGTATGTTTTTATTCATGAGTTTAAATATGTTTGTGGTGATTAGTTGGCTAATTTCTTGATTAAGTAAATGATCCTCAAATTAGCAAGCAACAAGTGATTTTTGTGTTGTTTTTGCTTCACACAATCATAAAAACATTTCCTCCAACATGGTAGTGAAAGCAATTGACTCCTCTTGGATTTGGTGATTTTTTGGTTCTTAATGCTAGTTGACTTTCACTAATTACATGCTATTTGGAATTAGTGACTTTGACTAAGGAAATTGTTATGAGCTTCTCTAGCCATTTCAACAATTAAGAAAAGTCTAGGTAATCTCAAGCTCCTTGGATTACTATAACCAAATTAAGGATTTAAATCAAAGTATTGCACTATTGGATTCTAATGATATGTTCATCAAAAGTCAAAGTGAGGAAACTTTAAGTCAACCATCTCTCCCTTATTGATTTTACATCAAACTCTTATTTTTGTTGCATTTGTCTATTTAAATCATAGTTAACTCTAGTTTGTTTCAAGTATTTCAAAACACCAAAACCCCCCATTTTATTTTTATTGTCATTTTACAAGTATTTTTACAAAGAGATTTTTCATAGAGTTATAAATTGAACCAATCTCCGTGGATTCGATCCCTTTACCACTATACACTATTTTAGTGTGTAATAGTTAGGGTTATTATTTGAGTTGGCCTCGACAACCACCAGTTGCATAACATTTTAGTATTAAGCTAATTTCCATTCATTTTTTTTATTTATTTAAAATTTCAAAAAGATTTTATTTTCTTCTTTTCCACTTTTTATTTTTGCATAACATTTAGCTTAAGGCATTAGCATTCATGCATTTTTGTTGTCTGTTTATTCTCACCTCTCTTGGATGCCATGGAACAGGTTCACAGTTATTGAATCATTATTGGTCCAGGATCTTGTTGCTATCTCACCCATCGAACCGGGACCACTAGCTGCAGTTTGGGATTTCATACTTGGGAACAGATGCTGGTAGCTTAAAGGGGTAAGTGATCATGGCCAGGTAGTTTCATGAAGAATTATGCATACAATACTAACAACTGTAGGATATACTATAGTAATGGGTGTTCTTAGCCTTGCAGTCACTACCGCGGAGAGGATCACACTTGATCATGTTTGAACTGTTAGGATGAACATTGGTGCTTGTCCCCGAGTAGAATCGATATCCGGTCTCTTTACATCACC